TAGATACACGCAAAAATCTCTTCTTTACCTCTGACGGGAACGAACCACCAATCTCCAGCCAAAGTGCTACGTCTCCCACCACTGCACTTCACACCACTCACTTCAGTTGCGGCTCCACAAACCGTTCTACTCTCCATCGCCTCATTTGCCTCATACTGCTGTTCCACGTTATTTAATATTCTACTGCTACAAAATGTCAAACCCGTCCATAATGTCTGAAAATTGTTTATAAATCTGCAACTGCACAATGTGTATTTCCGGCATTATAAAGGGACTTACTGACCCTCAGCCAAGGTTGACACGGTCAACACATCTCCTCGGCTGCTTGAAGCTGTGACGACAGCGACGTCGCTCTAGTCGCAGCTTGCCAAGAAGAGGGGCCTCCTTTGAGGTCCCCTCCCCCCCTTCCCCCTCAAATATATATGGGTCCGTCAGTCCACAAGAGCTCCAAATTTCTTTTGTTATATTTAAGATCTGTTACTAATGGGCAAGAAAAAATTGGTAACGCTCATCACTCAACACTTTAGATTTATTCTAACCATGTCACGAACAAATGCAGTTATTATGCTTAATACATAAACCTCCTGTCACTACAGCTAGCTAGACGTTTTGTCATTCACTCGCCAAAAAAGCTTCTTAATTTACATAATAAACTTTTGACCAAAATTTAGACTAGAAACTTGATCTGGAGATCTAAAAACACACTTTTGTTCTATTATCTAAGCCATTATTCTGCTAGCAGAGTAGTCAAAAAACCTTACAGAAAAATTAGAATGAAATACTGCTGCACTTCTAGTAAATATTGGGTTAATAATTTGAAAAAAAATTAGCACGTTTTAAAACTGCTGGAATTATTAAGCTTAATCAACTTTTCTCATCTGCTAATTGTATTTCTTAAATTTCAGAGTTTTTTGCAACCAGAAAAATTATCTCATGGCCAAAGTTTGAAAGAGCTCTTTTGATTTAAATACGTTACTTTGCGTTTGCCCATTGACAGCTGTAAAAGAATTATCCTGATGTTATCAGTTAGCTTCCTAAAAAAACCTCAAAGCGGCAACATACCAAAATGTCTGAGAAGATCTTTTATATACAATTGCAGCAGATTCTTGTTAGACTCAGAGTCAGAAAAGCCAATAAGGTGCGGTAAAAGTGTATATTGTGTGAAGAGCACAAAGCTGTGAATTTATGATTAAGTCGATTTGATCTACTTTACACAAAGTACGACAAGGTAGCTTTTTAGGCAGCTGTCAACTGCAACACCTGATGTTTTCAAAGCAAGACCGTAAGTAAATACGATTGTCAGCGAGTAAATTTTTTGTCTTATCTGCCACATTCTGCTGGCTTTTCTAACTGCAAATGGTAGGTTAAATTTCAGTATCTCCTGAGACCGTTTTGTAAAATTTTATTTTAGTAAAATCTTGAAAACAACGTGTAACTAAATTCACTAGGTCAATATTCTATAC